CGGTAGGGCGGTAAATTTAATCGCAGGTGGAGTCAGGTTCAAATTAAAGCACGCATGCCGCGGAATTTTGGGTAAACTCCCGAGGCCGGTTCCTGTTTGTGTTCCATTCTTCTTGTTTATCATTGTGAAGAGTTTTTCATGTGCGTGTAAACGATATTTCATGGTGGTAGTGGGGAGAGTAGATACTGCAGAGCTAACAATTGCAATGGTAACGGCAAACCCATATCTTGGTTCTTAAGCCCCTAAATAAACACTATTTTTGTACATAAACCCCTCAAATAGATTTTTTTTTTTTAAATCCTTAAAACAATTAAACTCATCATGCCCCATTGTTAGGGGTTTACAAGGCAAGTGCCTTATACATAGAGAGAGTTATGAACTTAATTCATATGTTAAGCCTTTACTTGAATGTTGTTGTTGACCCAATTCCTCAACTAACTCTAACGTGTATTAAAGTTAAAGGTTCAAATTTTGGACAATAGTAATGAGCACCTTGCTATAAAAGCAATAAGTGCCTCCACTATACTTGGGTGTTGAGAGGGAGATAATTCCTCCACCCATTTGGAGTGTCAAAATGAGTTTGTACATCAAGTAAGTGCACATGAAAGAGTAGGGTGTCAAAATGTGAGGATCCCCCCACCCAAAGATAGTGCACAAACTTAAGAATGGGGAAGTGTGTGAATCTCAAGCAAGTGCAAGGGTCTCCTCCCTCTACCTATGAAGGTGCACTAATATGAGATGCTGAAGATACACAAGTGAAAAGAGTTAGATTGTTGGGTGTTTACATGTAAGTAAATTGAACCCAATATTGGAAGTCAAAAGTGAGAAGTAAATGGCTTATATATGTGGAGCCTAAATTTAATAAGCTAACTTTTTGAATCAAATGTAGTGTTTTCACATGTTAAACCCTTAGTTTAGTGTTGTTGCCAACCTAATTGCTCAACCCAACAATGTGAGTAATGCCATTTGAAGAATAATATTGGCCTTATATGTTTCTATTAACAGTGAGGTATATATACACAATGAGTGTTTGGAGGTAAAATACATAATTGCCCTTATATGCTAATACGTAATAGTCATCTATCACCGTTGACTTACCAACACACTGAGGCTTATCCATCAACTTTCCCAAGTTATTGTGGAACTCTATTGTTGAGCATCAACTCAAGAATGCTAGCTTATGGCCAATTAGAAGATTCTAAAATAGAAAAATAATTTCGTATATTCTCCAATTTAACACACTCACCATCACTCATTAATTTAGCCATTAAAATCATTTTTAATTTAAATTTAAAAATAATAATTTTTTAATAAGTACTTAAATCAAAGATATCTAAATCATTATTTGTCTAAAATTTTAGTACCAATTTCCAGCTATTAATTTGCTAAAAAAAATTTCTCTTTCTTTTTTTCTTAAATTGATATGAATATTTTCGTTTTTAGTAGTATACAACCGCAGTACCTTGGAGCTATATATGTTTTTTCTAAAAAAAAGAAGGGAAAAAGAAAAGAAAGAAAAACTCAATTTTGGAGATTGCAATATAGGTATATACATATATCAATATTAAAATCCTTGCAGCCGGTGATGCAATGAGAAGTTTGATAATAGAGCAAAGCTAGAACTTAAAGTCTAATAAAACCACACGGAGTACTAAAGGGGAATTTAACTTGGAAGGAAAGAACTAGGCTTTTCGAGAAGAAGGTATTTACACGCCTAGGATTATGCACAGGAGCGATGTTTTGACTGTTGCTAAATTTCTGCATTATCACCATTGCTCAATTATGATAGCTAGGTATTTTCTTCCTCTTCTGTTTCCGTTTCTGTTTCTGTTTCCTCGTTCAACTCAGATTTAGATTCCTCATATTTCCTTTCATTTGATTGCTGATTTCTCTTTTGTGTTGATCGCGGATTTGCTGTATTCTTCATACGATCAGTTTCTTGAGGCCGAATTTCATAGTGCTCAATTTTCAGATCCCTAAGAATTCGATTCAGTGCTATGATTAATTCATGTCTCAGCGAGATCATCGTTACCCCAGATCTGTGAAAGTTTACATTGCAACAAGTGACATAGAGAACCATTTTAGCCCTTTGCTCATCTTCAAGTTCCTTAACCACTAAGTCACACTCTGGAAACCATTTCTTATTGTGGTCCTGGCCCAAGCGCCTGAAATATAAAGCAAAGTCATTTATATATTATATAATGATGGGAATCGAAACAAAAGAAAACATAATGTTGAACTTGGAACAACAA